GCCATACCGCTGAATTGTCCCACGGTCTGTAGCATTTGAAACATGACCGGTTTAAGTTCAAAGTGTAGGGCCTGGATGTTTGGCCGAACAATCACAGGATTTAGTCCATCAAGAACTGGGACTGCAAAATCTCTGATTGCTCGATCACGGTCATCAACCACAAACGGTCTTGGGGCTGGTTCAAGAGCATTAAGCTGCTGCCCCTGATTCAGTAAGATCCCCTGAGCGTCTTCCTCGGCCATTTCTTGTACGTGAGCAAATCCTCGCTGCTCCCTTCTTCTCCTTCTCAAAGTCCTTTCAATTTCTGGGTCAAGAAGGAATAACTCAGGTTCTTGCATACAAGATGTTCCCAAAGACCTGCCAAAAATCAGAAACTCTGATGAAAATGAATAAAAATACTTGAATAGTGAATTACTTTAACAATAAGATTCAAATAAGACAGTCCCCGGCAACGGCGCCAAAAACTTGTTGCTTAAAATTGTGAATCTAGAATCTCGCAAGTGCACGAGTCAACAAGTAGTAAAATGATGAATAATCAAGTATCGTCCCACATGGACTGTGTGTTTTTGAAATCAAATTGCTAAGTTAATTCTATTCAAGTTTTTAAGAAGTAAACTAAAGTTGATTTTAAGATGTTAAAAACTAATGATAATCTGATTGTAAGAAAATGAACAACAAAGATAAAACTAATTAATAAAGAGTTTGCAAATAAAATTGGCCAATGTCACTGTTCGCGGCTTAAAATTATTAAACTGTCTTTTATCACGCTGCGCGTTGCTGCAGCAATGGACAACAATGAAAACTTCTAGTTAACCGGATTCTACTAAACCAGGGACTTTCCAATCCGCCGTCTACTAATCTTAAAGCTAAATCTCACAAATCCCTCTGCAAATCTAGACTCTAAAATCAGAGAATGAAGCTCTAAATCGTATGGTTATGCAAGACATAATATATTCCTATATCATGTGGATCAAAAATCTGTAACAAGATCTAAGAACTTGCATTACTCAAGTTATTTGCACTCAACTAAATCTTCCCAGATCTAATCAAGCTGTACTCCCCTCTTATGATTTCCCAATCACAGTTAAGGCACAAATTCAGCTCACTTGAATAAACAAAGAAATAATCATCAAATCCATTCAACATCAACTAGCAACTTAATATTTAACAAATCAACAACCTCAGCCAACAAATCATAATCTCATAGAAATATATTTATGAATTCAAGTTCAGATTCAAGAAGAAGAGTAAATATTCTTTAACAAGAAAAACAAAGTAATGAGAATAAGAAAGACTAAAATGATGATGAGAGAATCCGAATCCCCCTTTTCCAAGGTTTCCTCTAGGCACTCTTGCATCAACAGATGGTCCTTCACGTTTAAATCTCTGTGACGTTTTCTTCTTCTTCTTCCTCAGTACTGGAAATGGTACTTGATCAGAAAAATGGAGGTGGTTTCCTTTTCCAAGTTCAGCCGCCTCTGCGTTACAAAATATGACCAAGGACACCTTTTTCTCTTGCAGCTGCAGGTACTTATTGTACCCTAATTACACGTGGCAGCCCCTGAGGAAGCCTCCAATCAGCAGCTAAATCAGCACCCTTCACGGTAAAATCAGCTCATTCTTCTAGCTCAGGTACAACTGTCAGCAACATGCACGTCTGGCCCAGCTCGCCTTGCTACAGCAATGCACAGTAATGCTGACTAGGATTTCCTTGAAAATTCCAAAACGACAAGTTGTTGCTAGCCTCCAAGATGACAATGCTTTCTCAAAGCTGAAAATAATCACAACATGCACCCGGATTAGCTCTTTTTAAGCGCCAAACACAAGAGAGAGAATTCATGAAACATAACTAACTAAAAACTAGAAACAAGACAAAATAAAGGATAAAACTAAAACTAATTACCCTCTAGGTAATAATTTAAGCCTGGGAAATGCTCAATTAACTCTATTTTCATAAAGTTATCAGAGTGAAGTGAGTTTGGGGGTGAAGTGTTCGAAGAAAATGAAATGAAGAGTATAAATAAGGGGTGAAATTAGGGCTTCAGGAGTAGGCTAAACGTGTTGTCATTTTTTTTTTAAATTGCAAAATCAAACAAAGATATATACAAAGACAACCAAAGTTCTCCCTCCAAACTTACCAAGCACAATATCCTCAATGTGTAGGCAATCAAGAACATAAGGAAAAGTTTAAGAAACTCCCCTATGTTAATTTGGAGCTTAGGCTTCAATGCTTGATCGCTCTCTTGAATTGAATCCATTCATGAAGCTTCAACGATTGCACCTACAAAAGAGAAACACTAAAACAAGGTAAAAAGTTCTAAAATAAATAAATAAATAAATAAAAACTAAAACTTGAAAGGAAGGAAAATAAAAAAAAGGTTTAGAAAACTTGGGTTGTCTCCCACGGAGCGCTTGCTTTAACATCTTCAACCGGACGTTTAGAGAGGCGCTCATTAAAGAGCGGCATCTGCCCATAGTAAGTGTCATACAACACTACAAATGGGTCTTTGATTATGATGCCCTCAAGCTTGACATGATTTTTACAATTTCGGCACGTTGCATCAACAAGATTTGGCTTCGGAAGGTGATGGGCTTGATTGAAGAACTTCATTTTTAGTTTGGGCTCATAAAGAATGCAGTATGGTGGCGGTGATGATGATGGCCAAAATGGGTCGGATGGCGGTGTGCATGTTAGAATGATTGACGAGCTCAAGTCAATGATTTCTTATTTTCTTTCACCCTCCTCTGACGAGTCTTGCGCCTTAAATTTCCTTATAGGTCCTTGTGCTGTTGTTTTGGCACCTAACCAAGCTAACTGCTTCATAGGTTCATCTTCAGCCTCATCCAAATCTAATGACGAGGATAGCTGCAACAAGTCCGTATGGCTGCTACTCTCAAGCTCTTTAGCCACTAAAGAGTTAGTGACTGATATTACAGAACATTCCTCCACCTCAGTTGGAAACTCTATTGCCTTAAATACATTAAATGTCACATGCTCATCCTGCACACGCATGGTTAGCTCACCTTTTTGTACATCAATTAGGGTATGGCCTGTAGCAAGAAACGGCCTTCCAAAAATGATTGGCACTTTTCTGTTTACTTCATAGTCAAGAATGGCAGGAAAAATGAACTTGTCCACCTTTACTAGTACATCCTCAATCTTTCTTTCGGGAATTGCAATAGATCTGTCTGCGAGCTACAAAGACACTGTGGTAGGCCATGCTTCCCCGATTCCCAACTTTTTAAAAATGGACATCGGCATCAAATTTATACTAGCTCCCAAATCACATAAAGCCTTACCAAAATATTGGTTTTCAATTGAACACGGGATAGTGAAACTTCCCGGATCCTTCAGCTTGGGAGGGAGCTTATTTTGCAATATGGCGCTGCATTCGTCTGTCAAAGCCATCATTTCAAACTCCCCAAATCGGCCTTTTTTAGTGACCAAGTCTTTCGTGAACTTGGCGTAGCTTGGCATTTGTTCTAGGGCTTCCACCAGAGGTATGTTGATGTGTAGCTGCTTCAAAACATCTAAAAACTTGCGAAATTGTCCATCTTGTTGCTGTCTCTGAAAGCGTTGTGGAAAAGGTGGAGGTGGTCGGCTGCTACTGCTATTACTGGTTTCTGCTGTTCCAGAATGTTGCGGAAATGCTGCAGCATTCTGGACGTCAAAATTTGGTTGTTGCTTCCTTCGTTGTTCTTCTTGTGGCGGAGTTTGCTGCTCTTCCTCTTAGATTGAAGTGGGCTCTGTTTGTACAGCTGAGGTCTTGTCCTTGGCTCCAACTCCTTTTCACTCCTTAGTGAAATAACCTTGCAGTGTTCTTTCCCTTCTCTACGTGGATCTTTGGTGTTGCTTGGGAGAGAACCTTGAGGTCGGTTGTTCAAAGAGTTAGCAAGCTGACCCATTTGATTTTCTAAATTCCTCAATGCTGCATCATGACTTTGGATTTTGGCTTCACTCCTTGCTATAAATTCCTTTAGCAAACTCTCCAAAAAGCTAGATTAATCCGCATGTGTTCTTTGTTGTTGATGTAAATAACCGGGTGGATATGTGGGTCTATAATAAGCGTTAGCTCCACTAGAACCCACTCCTTAGTTACTCCAAGCCATATTTGGATGTTGGCACAACCCTTGGTTGTGAGGATTCGAATAAGGATTGCTGCTCCTATTGAAATTAGCAACATATTAAGCAGAGGCTGGGTTGGATGGGCAATCTTCATACAAGTGGCCCTCTCCACAAAACACAAGAGAATCCAGTAGTTTGCACAGCATTTACCCCTGCCGGCATGTTTAATACTTTTACCATATTCGTCAAGGATGACATTTGAACTAAGAGTGCAGTGATGGCATCAACTTCATGAATTCCAGTAGCCTTCCTCGCATTAAGTTTCTCGGTTGGCCATTAATAATTGTTGTTGGCCATCCTCTCCAAAATGTCTCCATTTGAATCTAATGGGGGATCCCATGATGAGGGCACTTCCGCAATAGCTCCTTGAATCTTTTCCATGCTTCATATAATGACTCCCCATCTACTTGTTAGAAGGAGGTAATGTCGTTCCTTAGCTTGGCATTCTTGGTTGGAGGGAAGTATTTCATGAGAAACTTCTCTGCCAAATCATCCCATGTTGCCACCAAATCTGGAGGCAAAGAATTCAGCCATACCCGAGCTCTATCCCTTAAAGAATAAAGGAATAGCTTTAACCTCAATGCATCTTCAGTCACCCCTGCTAGCTTGAAAGTATCACTCACCTCCATAAATTGTCTAAGATGGAGGTGAGAATCTTCAGTTGCTATGCCACTGAATTGGCCCACGATTTGGAGCATTTGGAACATCACTGGCTTAAGCTCAAAATGAGGCGCCTGAATCACTGGCCTCACTATTCCGGGGTTAAGTCCATGTAAAATGGGCATAGCGTAATCTTGAATAGCCCTGTTTCTGTCATCTATTAGTATCGGTTGGGGGACAAAGATGTTGGCATTTGCTTACTGCCCACTCCTGCTAAGCCTTGTTGTTTCCTTTTCATGACTCCCACTCCTGCTAAGCCTTGTTGTTTACTTTTCATGATTAAACAAGCATCATTCATGTTAGATCCGATTAAAACTAACCCTTCTAGTATTAATCTTAATCTTGTATCCTAAAATTGATGGCTAGTCAAGAGTAGAAATAGGCATGAACACACATGAATGAACAAGAATAGTAAATTAATAGCATCTCAGAAATAAATTGTCATTCTCACAATCTTGGTTCCATTACCAAACCTAGCTAAAACAAATTAGTTCATAACGAGATTTACAAGATTCGAAGTTCCAGAATAATCCATAGCTAAATTAATAGCTAAATAACAAAAGAGAATTAAGCTAACAGAAAGAAGAATGAATTTTAGCTGGATATTGGATTCCTCTTTGTCCGGCCAAAACTACGTTTAACCTCCTGCCTTTTTCCCTTCCCTCACGTTTCTGAATTTTGTTTTCTGGAGATGGGTACTCTCTGTATTTCCTCTCTTTCTCAGCTCTCATACTATGCTTTTCCCTCTCTTGGTAATGCACTGTGTGTTTTCTGGAGAGGGATGCTCTGTGTATATCCAGAGGGAATACTCTCTATCTTCTTTTATTTTTCAGCCTTGTCTCTCTCCTCCTTTTCTCTTTGGCGGCTGCCCTTGTTTTTAGAAAACATTCCTCTCTAGGGCAACAAGGGCTGAGGTGTCACTTGATGATGTGTGCATTGGACCACAATGACACCTGCTCAACCAGCTCACACGGATCCATTTTGTCTGCTTTCTTTAAGTAGTGCGCTGACGTTATTCATATGCCAGCTGTTCCCAGAATGTTGCCAGAATGCCACATCATTTAGCCCAGGAATTTCTTGCAAAGCGCACACACAGTCTTAGTCGACTTTCTTCCTATTTTTAATTCAAAATCATCAACTTTTACTTCAAGAAGAGCACAAGTATAGAGTTAAGCCATAGTAAGTGTAAACTATAAAAATCTAAATTAAAACACACAAGAAACTAAAAAAATCACTCTTGGTCACGCAACTTTTGAGCTAGAAAACCGTTGGATAACTCTAATTTCTTAGAGTTATCAATGTGGTAGCGTTTTATTTTGGGACTAGATGATGGCTTAGTTTGGTAGTGCTGTAGATTTAGAAAACTTACTTTTAACTATGCTGAAGGAAGAAACAGCTGCTATAAAAAGTAGCTGAGTGTTTGTTAAACTGTAATTATAATAGTTGTGCCGGTTTCAAAATTAATGTAATAGCGTTTGATAAATTATGAGGTTGAATTGCTGTGGATAATTAAAAATTACGACTATATTATAATATAATATA